TTGACATTCATTAAGCTAATTTATTAAGAAGTCACTTGTTCGTGGCACTCGTAAATTGAATTTAATTTTCCGAAACCAAGAATTAAATTAGTTGGATTGAATATTTTAGCATAGGTCTTTTCATTGGTCTCCGTTGCTGTTCACACACGTTTTTCGTAATTATTCCATTTATATTAATTTGTACCATAAGTTTTCCCAATTTTGTTATGTCAGTCTCATAGAAATTTTCCTCATCTTCAATTCTTCTTGAGCAGGTAATTACAAACATGTCCTGTAAACATCATGCAACAAAGTATAGACAATTGATACAGTGATTTGTCTTGTTATTATTTTTTATTCAGGACTCAAAGATCGCAAACCAACTTTCTTTCACTCCGCTATCGTTAACGATAGATAACAACAATAAATAATAAATGTTTTTTAATAATCACGAAGTAATGTGATAAATCCTAAGATCCTGACTCATTCAAGCCAGCAAACTTCATCAGTTCTTTATTCTCTTTATCTCGTTCGTCTTCATTGAAAAAGTACCATTAAAGGCTGTAATAAATACATCGGTCTATGAGTAACGTGGATTCATACTAAAGAATGCGATTGAATTTACATCGCGCCTTAATAAAAATGCGTTACCTTGCTCTTACGCAATTCATTCAGCTATTCGTAATCGTACAATTTCTTTCCTAGGTCTATCGCAATAATTATTTCCTTACTCAGAAATGCGTAATGTGCGCTAAGAGAAAAAAATGTGTAAACATCCGGAGGAGGTTTCTCTTGATTGTTTATTAAATTTTTATTGAATTCTTGTAGCTGGATCTTTGAAATTAATCATCTCGATCGCTTGATCCTTGTTTTCTCATTCAATTTCGAATCAAATCATTCTAAGAAGCGACCGATCGAGTAATTTCGTTCATAAATGTGCCCGATATATCTGTAGCAACGTCGATCTTGTTGTCTGACGAGTACTCTATGATACCTTCGTTTCTACTTCTGTCCCATATACAGTTCGAGTAATTTCTACTTTGATCCTCGCATCCCTCGCAGACAATGTTGAAATCTCTGTCGAGCGGGTCAGTTACATCAGAATATAGAATAAATTCAGTGGGGTAACTCTGTTTCGCATCGTTTTTTCTCTTCGCGGTCTACGAGGTTCAGAAAGATCACCGTTTTTTTAGGGGCTGCTCGGTCAGGAAATCGCTTTTTTTTTTTTTTTTAAAGGACCCTGTCCTCACGATTATAATCCTGGATGTGAGAAACGTTGCTCTCTATTTATTATTAACCTTTTAAAAACGCGCTCTGTTTACTAAATTACATCTACTCGAGATCGATTGAGGATATCATTATGTTTACCCAATATTTTCATACCTATGCATTTACTTAATTATTACTTATTATCATCAACAAAATAATCGTGGAATATCCAGAAAAAAAAAAGATTTGAGATTTACAGAATTGATTCATCCATGTAAAAATTAATTTACAGATCAACTATTGTGAAAGTAATGACTCTCAATTTCAATGTTACAATGTGGACTAATTTCCTTCTATTCCTGCCTTTCTGCTTCATTGTTCACTGAATGTCACGTTTACTTTACCAAAGCAAACCATATTACAAGCAGAAGCAAGTTAGTCAGTAGCGATGACGGATTCACCGTGATTCATTGCAACTGATCAGTGATCCTTGAACCATAGTTTCTCGAACATTCTCTATTTAATTTTGCAACAATTAACCGGCGTGTGTTTATACTTTCGCGACTAAGCACTGACGTTTGCTTAGTGAAATAAAGGGGAAAAATTACGCAAGAACCGGAAGCCAAATTTACCTGTGCTGGTTGCACTAAGTTAGGCAACCTGACGTTTAGTCTCCGCCGTATCTCGCGAGACCGATAGAATACAATGCTAATGACACACACCAACAAAAAGATCAGTAACAGAATGCTGAACCAAGGGGAACCTTTCGTTTCTTGGGGCACATCGTTGCTGCAGTAGGACGGTGTGTAAAATCCGCCAGGATGATACGGATAAGGGCTATATGGATTCAAATGTGGATAAGGCGGTGGGTAGTAAGCGTAAGGTGGTGGATGAGCCGGATGTTGTTGATGGAATCTGACATCATCTGCTGGATTTTCTGTTGGAGATCTTGATCGTGGTGGTGATCGACAGGGTGTATTAGCAGCGCACATCTAACACCCTGACGATCTCTCATTGAATTTAAAATACGTTCTCTGAAAATTCCGGTGGTATTTCAGATTTAGGTCATTCTTGCATCATGAGATCGGCAATTTTGCTTAATGATGGTAGCAAACGTAAGGTTAAACGTCATTTCGCGTGAAGAAATTTTGACATGATTAAAGTGCCAGAGGAATTTGTACATCGATATCGAGCTTCGTGTGAGACTTCAGGTTGTGCAAGTAGTAAATCGAATCTAATAACAATAAGTTAACAGTTAATCGTAATAGTACTTACTCTATGATTGAGATCAATGACATCATCCTCGAGGGAGACATCGCTGTACATATCGTCCGCGGGATCACAGTTGGAGCCTCTGCCAGAGCTATTGAAGCTACCGCTTCGATAAAGCTGGCTGTGAAAGAGACATAAATACTAAATATTAATGTACTGTCTATCGAAAGTTTAATAATAAGTAAGCAGTTGAAATGCATATGAACATACACGCATCGACGACGTTGTCAGAATATTCTTCGAAGGAAAACTTTTCACTTGGGAAAAATGAAATATATCGTCAGATGATAAATATAGATAATATTTAGGCGAAACATATATTCAATGGGTTTATGGAAGCGTAAAAGGAAACGGGATGTGGAAGTGCGTGTGTGTGCCAGCCAGTGCCCACGCTTTAGAAAGTTCTGTCGTTTTGCGTTCCGTGAAAGGATCTGAAAATTATCCATTGGATAAGGACCACCCTAAGCCTTCTTTCTCTGAATTGGAAAACTCGATTCCAGCGTTGCATCGTTGCTATTGTTATCCCATGACGTCAACACACGCCGAAGATGTAATAAAAAAATATATCATCCTCCATCTTTTTCTGAGGCTAACGAGTTCAAGAACATTCGGTTTCGATCGTACAAATGCAAGTATGTTCGTCGACCCGTGGTAATGTTTCATTATCAATTGCAAACAGTCGTTAGGCTATAATTTACGTAACATATAGTATGGCACAGTATATTACAGGCAAAAAATTAGCGAAATAATTGGCGGTTCGCTCTTACCTTGCTAATGCATTGGAACTAAGTCGCTTCCTTCCGGAACTGGAAAAAAAAAAAAGAAAAAAAGAAAAAGTTAACGTGACCGTGAAAAATATGCTAAGATATTCTCTTACGTAATAGAACTTTTCGCTTTAACGTAACTGTTGAAACACTGTTTACTGAATTTCTCAGTTACGTGTTACGAATTGAACATTCACATTTTACGATTAACTCGCTCCAACATCAAAGTTACGAAGGGTTATGCGAATTTTTTCGAAAATTTCTAAAATCTTCGTATTATAAAATTTCCTGATGGAATAAACTGGTGCCCTGGCTTTTACCACGGGTAAATGTCGAAGTCGAGCCGAATTAACAATTTCTATAAATGAAAACGAAATATATATAGTCGGTGAGAATAGACGAAGGTCAAAATTTCGTTACGAAATAGCAAACGTTGCCAAGAAAATATTATATACCTGTTTTAGCGTTTAAAGAATATCTAGTAGGTGAATTCTATTCTAGTATCATTGGCAAGTGTACAATGCGCAATTCTTTCAATCGTAATTTTTCATATATGTAAACGTGGGCAAAATATACATAGGATGTGATTAAAAAAAAAAAAAAAAAAAAAAAAAAA